TCATGGACAGAAAGTTAGAACACAAATGTGAAATTCTGCATGAAACTGGGCCTTCAGTGAGCTTCAACGACCTTCAACGGCCTTCAACAGCCTTCAACGGCCTTCAATGAGCTTCAACGACCTTCAACGACCTTCGACGACCTTCAACGACCTTCAACAGCCAAGGAGCTTCAACGACCTTCGATGAGCTTCAGCGAGCTTCAAGGAGCTTCAACGACCTTCAACGGCCTTCAACGACCTTCGATGAGCTTCAACGACCTTCAACGACCTTCGATGAGCTTCAACGACCTTCAACGGCCTTCAACGACCTTCGATGAGCTTAGCGATTCAAGGAGCTTCAACGACCTTCAATGTCCTTCAACGAGCTTCTAGGAGCTTCAACGACCTTCAAGGACCTTCAACGAGCTCAACCCCCGAAAATGCTCCTCTTCCCGAAGATGAAGCTCAAGCTCAAAGGTCAACGCTTTGGCAACATTGCGGAGGTCCAGCGATTTGCCCAGTTTCACACAGTATTTCACGTTTGTTCTTTGTTCTAACTGAGCCTCAAACCCAATGTACCAGATATACGAGGTGGCATCAACATGTTTTGAGACTAGTGTTGTAACATGCCAACAGATGGCAGTCACAGGGAGCACCAACCTTCATAAGTCAGTGTGCCGACAGACATTGCCCCGTGTACATCGGGAGCTGTAGAACTGGTGCTATTCTGACCACATGCGTTACCACGTTTGCTATTAAAGAGCAAATGTGAAATTCTGCTTGAAACTGGGCCTTCAACGACCTCCAACGACCTTCGACGAGCTCAACCCCTGAAAATGCCCTCTTCCCCGAAGATGAAGCTCCAGCTCAAAGGTCGCTATTTTGACAACATTGCGGAGATCCAGCGATTTGCCCAGTATCACACAGAATTTCACGTTTGTTATTTGTTCTGAGACTCAAACCTAATGAAAATATATATATATATATATTGAAATATATTGTTAAAATATTCTTCCCAAATATATTGACATATATTTGAAATACTGCAATTTTTTTTCAATATTTTTAAAAATATACTTTTTTTCTTAATATATTCAGATTTTTTTAACATATAAAAAAGTAATTTTTACATATATTTGTAAATGATTTGTATTTTTACAGACATACAGTATATTCGAAAATGTATTTTTAAAAATATATTTCAATAAATATATATATACACAGTATGTTGAAATGCGTTTTTATTACAAAATATTTGAAAAAAAATTTTTAAAAATACAATTTTCGAATATACTATATGTCTGTAAAAATACAAATCTACATTTTTGGAATGCATTTACAAATATATGTAAAAAATGACTTTTTTATATGTTAAAAAAAATCTGAAGAATATATTAAGAAAAAATATATTTTTAAAAATATTTTTCATATATTTTGTAATATATGAAAAATGCATTTCAACATGAAGTGTATATATATTTATATATATTTATTGAAATATATTTTTAAATATATTGAATACGGCCAAAATTGTAGTATTTTAATATATATGAGAAGTACCCCGCTTCCTGCCAGACCCCTTAACTCTTAACCCCTTCGCTGCCAGAGCCGTTTTTGCATTTTATTTTTTTTTTTTTTACACATGTATAAAAAATAATTTTAGGTCTGTAGATTAACCACCTCCCACCCGCCATATAGTCCAATGACGGGCACAAGGCGGTTCTCTCGTTCTGGGAGGATGTCATATGACGTCCTCCCATTCTCACCGTGCATGCTCGGCTCCGGGAGTGCGCAGCATGGCCATTGGCAGTGCGCTGTGTCCCTCGGACACAGCAGATTACTGATCAACGGAAAGAGCCGAAGATCTTGGCTCGGTCATGTGACCAGCTGTGTCCAATCACAGCTGATCACATGTAAACAAGGAAATGCCGGTTATCAGCATTTCTCTCCTCATGAGCTGTCATGCTGACAGGAGAGGAGAGTCGGTAATCGGCATTCCTCGGAGGGGACACGTACACTGATCATCAGGGCACCTGATGCCCTGATGATCAGTGTGGCCCCAGAAGTGCCACCTGTCAGTGTCCATCAGTGCCAGCTGTCAGTGCTGAACAGTGCCACATGCCAGTGCCCATCAGTGCCACATCAATGCCACATATCAGTGCCCATCTGAGCTACCTTTCATTGTCACCCATCAGTGCAAGTCAGTGCCACCTATCAGTGCTGCCAATCAGTGCCACCTATCAGTGCCAGTCAGTGCTGCCTATCAGTGCCGCATATCAGTGTGCATCAGTGCAGCATATCAGTGCCCATCACTGCAGCCTCGTTAGCGTACATCAGTGAAGGAGAAAAATCACTTATTTACAAAATTTTACAACAAAAACTAAGAAAAACATTTTTTTACAAAATTTTTAGTGGTTTTTGGTTTGTTTAAGAAAAAATAAAAAAACCCTGAGGTGATTAAATACCACCAAAATAAAGCTCTGTCACAAAAAATGATAAAAATTTAATACGAGTAAAATGTTGCATGACCGCGCAATTGTAATTCAAAGTGTGACAACGCTGAAAGCTGGAAATTGGCCTGGGCAGGAAGGGGGTAGAAATGCCCTGTAGGCAGGAAAGGGGGTAGGTAGAAGTGAAGTCCTGTAGGCAGGAAGGGGGTAGAAGTGCCCGGTGGGCAGGAAGGGGGTAGAAGTGCCCGGAGGGCAGGAAGAGGATAGAAGTGCCCTGTAGGCAGGAAGGGGGTAGAAGTGCCCGGTAGGCAGGAAGGGGGTAGAAGTGCCCTGTAGGCAGGAAGGGGGTAGAAGTGTCCTGTAGGCAGGAAGGGGGTAGAAGTGCCCGGAGGGCAGGAAGAGGATAGAAGTGCCTGTAGGCCTGTAGGCAGGAAGGGGGGTAGAAGTGCCCGGTAGGCAGGAAGGGGGTAGAAGTGCCCGGTAGGCAGGAAGGGGGGTAGAAGTGCCCGGTAGGCAGGAAGGGGGTAGAAGTGCCCGGTAGGCAGGAAGGGGGTAGAAGTGCCCTGTAGGCAGGAAGGGGGTAGAAGTGCCCTGTAGGCAGGAAGGGGGTAGAAGTGCCCTGTAGGCAGGAAGGGGGTAGAAGTGCCCGGTAGGCAGGAAGGGGGTAGAAGTGCCCGGTAGGCAGGAAGGGGGTAGAAGTGCCCGGTAGGCAGGAAGGGGGTAGAAGTGCCCTGTAGGCAGGAAGGGGGTAGAAGTGTCCGGTTGGCAGGAAGGGGGTAGAAGTGTCCTGTAGGCAGGAAGGGGGTAGAAGTGCCCTGTAGGCAGGAAGGGGGTAGAAGTGCCCTGTAGGCAGGAAGGGGGTAGAAGTGTCCGGTAGGCAGGAAGGGGGTAGAAGTGTCCTGTAGGCAGGAAGGGGGTAGAAGTGCCGGGTAGGCAGGAAGGGGGTAGAAGTGCCGGTAGGCAGGAAGGGGGTAGAAGTGTCCTCTAGGCAGGAAGGGGGTAGAAGTGCCCGGTAGGCAGGAAGGGGGTAGAAGTGCCCGGTGGGCAGGAAGGGGGTAGAAGTGCCCTGTAGGCAGGAAGGGGGTAGAAGTGCTGGGTAAGCAGGAAGGGGGTAGAAGTGCCCTGTAGGCAGGAAGGGGGTAGAAGTGTCCGGTAGGCAGGAAGGGGTTAGAAGTTCCGGGTAGGCAGGAAGGGGGTAGAAGTGTCCGGTAGGCAGGAAGGGGGTAGAAGTGCCCTGTAGGCAGCAAGGGGGTAGAAGTGCCCGGTAGGCAGGAAGGGGTAGAAGTGCCCTGTAGGCAGGAAGGGGGTAGAAGTGCCCTGTAGGCAGGAAGGGGGTAGAAGTGCCCGGTAGGCAGGAAGGGGGTAGAAGTGCCCGGTAGGCAGGAAGGGGGTAGAAGTGCCCTGTAGGCAGGAAGGGGTAGAAGTGTCCTGTAGGCAGGAAGGGGGTAGAAGTGCCCTGTAGGCAGGAAGGGGGTAGAAGTGCCCGGCAGGCAGGAAGGGGGTAGAAGTGTCCGGCGGGCAGGAAGGGGGTAGAAGTGTCCGGCGGGCAGGAAGGGGGTAGAAGTGTCCTGTAGGCAGGAAGGGGGTAGAAGTGCCCTGTAGGAAGGAGGGTAGAAGTGCCCGGTAGGCAGGAAGGGGGTAGAAGTGCCCGGTAGGCAGGAAGGGGGTAGAAGTGCCCTGTAGGCAGGAAGGAGGTAGAAGTGCCCTGTAGGCAGGAAGGGGGTAGAAGTGTCCTGTAGGCAGGAAGGGGGTAGAAGTGTGCCCTGTAGGCAGGAAGGGGGTAGAAGTGCCCTGTAGGCAGGAAGGGGGGTAGAAGTGTCCGGTAGGCAGGAAGGGGGTAGAAGTGTCCAGTAGGCAAGCGGTTAACATAAAAACCATTGTACTTTTTTCTGAAAGCAGACACTCTGGAGGATAAAATAATGGTCGTTCCAATTGTTTATGACACACAATGTCAGCACATTTTATTTTATTTATTTTTATTTTAGTGCACTTTTTTTACTCTTCATTTACTAAAGGTAAGTAGACTGAGCACTTTGCAAGTGCAGTTGCTCCAGGGCTTAGTAAATGAGGCGAAGCTCTGCTAACTTCCATCATCCAATCACGTGCAAGCAAAAATGCTGTTTTTTTTTATTATTTCCTTGCATGTGATTGGGTGTTTTTTTTGCAAAGTGGAGCTTTACGTCATTTACTGAGCTCTGGAGCAACTGCACTTGCAGGGCACACAGTCTATTTGCTTTAGAAAATCAGCCCTAATTTATGACCCAATTTTTGGTAGAATATAAACAATGAGGTTGTGCCGAGCAAATAGATGCCAAACCTGTCAAGCCTTAAAATTGTGTGCGCCCCTGAAATGGCGGCAAACTTCCGTTCTCTAAATTTTCTATAAGTGACATTTTAAAAGCCACTGCAGGTCATCAGTTTGGATTTAGCCATGAATAATGGACCTAGAATGATAGTCAGAGACTGCAGACATACTATAGGAGATGGTCAGAGACTGCAGACATAGCACAGGAGATGGGAAGAGACTGCAGACATACTACAGGAGATGGTCAGAGACTGCAGACATAGCACAGGAGATGGGAAGAGACTGCAGACATACTACAGGAGATGGTCAGAGACTGCAGACATAGTACAGGAGATGACCAGAGACTGCAGACATAGTACAGGAGATGGGAAGAGACTGCAGACACAGTACAGGAGATGACCAGAGACTGCAGACATAGTACAGGAGATGACCAGAGACTGCGGACATAGTACAGGAGATGGTCAGAGACTGCAGGCATACTACATGAGATGGTCAGAGACTGCAGACATACTACAGGAGATGGTCAGAGACTGCAGACATACTACAGGAGATGGGCAGAGACTGCGGACATAGTACAGGAGATGGTCAGAGAGTGCGGACATAGTACAGGAGATGGGAAGAGACTGCAGATATACTACAGGAGATGGGAAGAGACTGCGGACACAGTACAGGAGATGGGAAGAGACTGCAGACACACTACAGGAGATGGGAAGAGACCGCAGACATAGTACAGGAGATGGTCAGAGACCGCAGACATACTACAGGAGATGGTCAGAGACCGCAGACATACTACAGGAGATGGGAAGAGACTGCAGACATACTACAGGAGATGGGAAGAGACTGCAGACATACTACAGCAGACATACTACAGGAGATGGGAAGAGACTGCAGACATACTATAGGAGATGGTCAGAGACTGCAGACTTACTACAGGAGATGGTCAGAGACTACAGACATGATACAGGAGATGGTCAGAGACTGCGGACATAGCACAGGAGATGGGAAGAGACTGCGGACATAGTACAGGAGATGGTCAGAGACTGCAGACATACTACAGGAGATGGGCAGAGACTGCAGACATACTATAGGAGATGGTCAGAGACTGCAGACATACTACAGGAGATGGTCAGAGACTGCAGACATACTATAGGAGATGGTCAGAGACTGCAGACATACTACAGGAGATGGTCAGAGACTGCAGACATACTACAGGAGATGGGCAGAGACTGCGGACATAGTACAGGAGATGGTCAGAGAGTGCGGACATAGTACAGGAGATGGGAAGAGACTGCAGATATACTACAGGAGATGGGAAGAGACTGCGGACACAGTACAGGAGATGGGAAGAGACTGCGGACACAGTACAGGAGATGGGAAGAGACTGCGGACACACATACTACAGGAGATGGGAAGAGACGCAGACATACTACAGGAGATGGTCAGAGACCGCAGACATACTACAGGAGATGGAAGAGACCGCAGACATACTACAGGAGATGGGAGATGGGAAGAGACTGCAGACATACTACAGGAGATGGAAGAGACTGCAGACATACTACAGGAGATGGTCAGAGACTGCAGACATACTACAGGAGATGGGAAGAGACTACAGACATGATACAGGAGATGGGAAGAGACTGCAGACATAGCACAGGAGATGGGAAGAGACTGCGGACACAGTACAGGAGATGGTCAGAGACTGCAGACATACTACAGGAGATGGTCAGAGACTGCAGACATACTATAGGAGATGGTCAGAGACTGCAGTCACAGTACAGGAGATGGTCAGAGACTGCAGACATACTACAGGAGATGGTCAGAGACTGCAGACATAGTACAGGAGATGAGCAGAGACTGTAGACATAGTACAGGAGATGAGCAGAGACTGCAGACATAGTACAGGAGATGACCAGAGACTGCGGACATAGTACAGGAGATGACCAGAGACTACGGACATAGTACAGGAGATGACCAGAGACTGCAGACACAGTACAGGGGATGACCAGAGACTGCAGACATAGTACAGGAGATGGGCAGAGACTGCAGACATACTACAGGAGATGACCAGAGACTGCAGACATAGTACAGGAGATGGTCAGAGACTGCAGACATACTACAGGAGATGGGCAGAGACTGCAGACATACTATAGCAGATGGTCAGAGACTGCACACAGTACAGGAGATGGTCAGAGACTGCAGACATACTACAGGAGATGGTCAGAGACTGCAGACATACTACAGGAGATGGTCAGAGACTGCAGACATAGTACAGGAGATGAGCAGAGACTGTAGACATAGTACAGGAGATGAGCAGAGACTGCAGACATAGTACAGGAGATGACCAGAGACTGCGGACATAGTACAGGAGAGGACCAGAGATGAGACAGAGACAGGAGATACAGGACATAGTACAGGAGATGACCAGAGACTGCAGACACAGTACAGGGGATGACCAGAGACTGCAGACATAGTACAGGAGATGGACAGAGACTGCGGACATGGTACAGGAGAAGGTCAGAGACTGCAGACATGGTACAGGAGAAGGTCAGAGACTGCAGACATACTACAGGATATGACCAGAGACTGCAAACATACTACAGGAGATGGGCAGAGACTGGAAACATACTACAGGAGATGACCAGAGACTGCAGACATACTACAGGAGATGGTCAGAGACTGCAGACATACTACAGGAGATGACCAGAGACTGCAGACATACTACAGGAGATGGTCAGAGACTGCAGACATACTACAGGAGATGACCAGAGACTGCAGACATACAACAGGAGAAGGTCAGAGACTGCAGACATAGTACAGGAGACGGTCAGAGACTGCAGACATACTACAGGAGACGGTCAGAGACTGCAGACATAGTACAGGAGACGGAGACGGTACAGACGACTGCAGACATACTACAGGAGACGGTCAGAGACTGCAGATATGGTACATGAGATGGTCAGAGACTGCAGACATAGTACAGGAGATGGTCAGAGACTGCAAACGTACTACAGGAGATGATCAGAGACTGCAGATATGGTACAGTCACATGTGCTCAGGGTGAACCTTCTCTCATCTGTGAAAAGCACAGGGTGCCAGTGGTGGACCTGCCAATTCTGGGGTTCAATGGACAATGCCAATCTGGCTCTATGGTGCCGGGCAGTGAGCACAGGCCCACTAGAGGACGTCGGGTCCTCAGGCCACCCTCATAAAGTCTGTTTCTGATTGTTTGGTCAGAGACATTCACACCAGTGGCCTGCTGGAGGTCATTTTGTAGGGCTCTGGCAGGGCTCATCCTGTTCCTCCTTGCACAAAGGAGCAGATACCGGTCCAGCTGATGGGTGAAGGACCTTCTACAGCCCTGTCCAGCACTCCTAGAGGAACCGCCTGTCTCCTGGAATCTCCTCCATGCTCTTGTCTCCTGGAATCTCCTCCATGCTCTTGAGTCTGTTCTGGGAGACACAGCAAACCTTCTGGCAATGGTACGTATTGATGTGCCATCCTGGAGGAGTTGGACTGCCCATGCAACCTCTGTAGGGTCCAGGTATGGCCTCATGCTAACAGTAGTGACACTGACCCTAGCCAAATGCAAAACTAGTGAAAAACAGTCAGAAAAGATGAGTAGGGAAAAAAATGTCACCTGTAAAACGATTTCTGTTTTGGGGTCGTCTCATTGTTGCCCATCTAGTGTACCTGTTGTTAATTTCATTAACACCAAAGCAGCTGAAACTGATGGACAACCCCCTTTGCGACTTACCTGACCAGATCAATATCCCAGGAGGTTCATCGACTTGAGTCCAGACTCTGATGATAAAGTCTTCCCTTCATTTTTTTGAGCTGTGTGTGTATAATATATATATATATATATTGTACGTTCACATCAGTCCCTATGTTATAAATATATAGTGCCGTGCTCCTATTTGCTTGTATATATATATATATCTTGATCCTAGGAGTATATGAATTAATATCTGAAACAATTCATAAATCACTGTGACTAGTGAATAAAAACAATCAATATTAAGTAATAAATATAAATAAATCACTAGTGAATCACTATAACTAGTGAATCAAATGAATAAAAATATGAATCAGCAACCTACATTGATGTGACTGATAACAATCAATCCTTAATTGAATGTGACTATAAAGGAATAAAATACAAATCAACACAATTCTAAATCTGTGCCCCTCTGATCTGCTGTGATCACTTCATCTATATAGTGCAAAAGCATACATATAAGTGCAAGTGCAAATACATAAAATATAAAAGACAATAAATTAAAAAGTCTTTCAAATAAGTGCAGTGTGCAGGTGGGTTCCTTATTCCCTCTCGCCGAGTGCTTAGTGGTCTCCCTATGCGCTCACCTTAATATTTGCCTGAATAAATTCAGGCAAATACACTTTTAATCCTTCCAGGATTGATGGGACGATACTCTCTCACATAAGCTGTTCCAGAAGGTAGATATGGATTTACAGGGATTCTCCTGTGCTCTCCTCTTTCCCCCCCCGTGCAGCTGCTCACAAATGGACTTCCTGACCAGCTCTCCAGGAATCTCCTACTTCCCCTCCTGGGGTCACCACCTTCTCCAATCCTCCTTTCACCAGCATAAGGAATGTGGGTCAACTCCTCAATGAATTCTGATTCCGCCAACACAGGAATGGTTTCTTGGAGTCAAACAATCCTTTGCTCAGAGACAATCTAACTTTTAAACCTCAGTTGAAGGAACAATCACCCCAGGTGTATGCGTATCAAAGCCTTTGACTCCAAGAAACCATAGGCAGCTTTCTTCCTCCTCCAAACACGGCGAGTTGAGTTGATGCCAAAGAGCTGGATTTTGGTCTCATCTGACCACAACACTTCCCACCAGTCCTCCTCTGCATCATTCAGATGTTCAGTGGCAGACTTCAGACGGGCCTGGACATGTGCTTTCTTGAGCAGAGGGACCTTGCGGGCACTGCAGGATTTCAGTCCTTGTTGGCGTAGTGTGTTACCAATTGTTTTCTTGGTGACTGTGGTCCCAGCTGCCTGGAGATCATTGACAAGATCCTCACGTGTAGTTCTGGGATGATTCCTCACTGTTCTCATGATCATTGACACTCCACGAGGTGAGATCTTGCATGGTGCAGCAGACCTAGGGAGACTGACACTTGTTTTGTGTTTCTTCCATTTGTGAATGATTGCACCAACTGTTGTCACCTTCTCACCAAGCTGCTTGGCCATAGTTTGGTAGCCCAGTCCAGCCTTGTGTAGGTCTACAATCTTGTCCCTGACATCCTTGGACAGCTCTTTGGTCTTTGCGATGGTGGAGAGTTTGGAATCTGATGGTTTGATTGCTCCTGTGGACAGGTGTCTTTTATACAGGTAACACAATGAGATTAGCAGCACTCCCTTTAAGAGACTGCTTCTAATCTCAGCTGGTTACCTGTATGAAAGACACCTGGGAGCCAGAAATCCTGCTGAATGATAGCGGATCAAATCCTTCTTTCCCTCATGAACATGCAGATCAGTCATCATTTGTTAGACGCATTTCTGCTGAATTTGTTGTTGTATTCTGTCTCTCAGTGTTACAATACACCAAACATTCGATTTTTAGACAGATTATTTCTTTGTGAGGGGCGAACATTCAAAATCAGCCGGGGAGCAAATATGCATTTCTTTCACTGTGTGTGTAAATATATTTATATAAAGAACTAAATATTGTACTTGAAATAACCCCCTCTAACTCCTCGCTCTTTAATAAGTAGAAGAGGTGGAACTTTTGCTCCCAAGGCATTCAGCCATGGTTATTTACAGCTTGGCCTTCATACAGGCTGGTCAACTGCAGAAAATGTGGCTGCAGAATATATACTGTATATTATTTAATTGCATCAAGATAAAACCTTGTTTTTGGAAATAGTAAAAGGTTATAAAAATAAAAATTAAAATAGAAATAAAAGTAAAAATAAATATAAAAATAAAACTAAAAAGTAAAAAATAATGAACAAAAATAAAAAATAAAGTAAAAGGTTGTAGAAATTATTACAATTGTTATCACCACAACAATTAATACAGAAAAAATGGGGAAGGATGTGGAAAGTAGAAAAAAAAAACACACAAAGAAGGAGATATTGACAAGAAAACACAATATAAATGTATCTGTGAATAGACACCCGTGGTCAAGTGCATTGTTTTGGCCAATCACAATGCACTGTCAGGGCGCAGTGCATTGTGGGGCACAGCGGGCAAATAGCCCGTCGGACGCTCTTACTGTTCGTGTGTTCAGCGAACACACGAATGGCCAATGTTTGAGTCGAACGTACGTTCGACTCCAACATTAAACCCATCACTACTAAAAACATAGAAAGGCCTAGATGGGAAGGTGGTTGAACATGCCGGTCTTCAAGTTGTAAAGACTCAGCAAGTACAGAAAAATATTCATCGATCTCCAGGGGCGGACTGACAACTCATGGGGCCCCTGGGCAATAGGGGATCATGGGGCCCCTGTGTCCTTGTCCAAACTCAAAAAAGCCTATGAAAAAGGTACCAGGGGCATCTCATGGGGCCCCCTACTGACCCCGGGCCCTCGGGCAGTGCCCGAGTTTCCAAATGGTCAGTCTGCCCCTGTCGATCTCCCAAAATGTTCTCAGTTCCAAACTTCCTATTGTGAGTTACATACAGCATTTTTGTAGACTGAAAGGTGTCAGCCCTGCCCATTGTTTTTGCTAAATTTCTCAGATAACACAGGAAGTGTGCAGAGAACACAGGACAGCTCTAACTTCAACAGGATTTTTTTTTTTTTGTACTTTTAATATCAGGCTTTGAAGAATTTTGTTCAGGCTGGTCCTGTGTTCTCAACCATTCCCAGGACCCCCAGCCACCTTAATGTCCCCCAATTTTTTTTCTACCGCTCACAACAACATCTGGGCATTTTTTTCATCCCACAGATTCCAGGGTGTTCTTTTTCTCACTGATCACTGACACTGGGTTGTTTGTCTTTCCACTTACCAATGACACCAGAGCTTTTTCTCCTCCTACGCCACACTACGCCTATAATTCCACCTTCTCACCACTGACTTTGGAGCATTTTTCAAATGCATCTCAAATGTGAACCACTTTCCCTCAAATCATACTTAATTCCGAAGACGTCTTTCTTGTCTGATGCAGATCAAAGAAGTGAGAGGTGACATGGGGAGGGCAGATTATAACATTTCAGAGGAGGAAGATTTGACTTGGGATTAGCTACAAGAAGTTTCAGCCCACCAACACCTAAAACCAGATCAGAATGGTATTTTACCTTTAATTAATTACAAATGTTTTTAATTTATTTTTCAGCAATGATTTGTGCTATGTCTGTGGAAAATAAGACCTTCTACCAGCCAAAGAACTTCATTTTAATAGGGATCCCAGGCTTGGAAGTGGCCCACTTCTGGATCTCCATTCCTATGGTTGTCATGTACATCTTGACCATCCTAGGAAATTGTGTCATACTTGCCATCATTATGCCAAAAGAAACTTTCCACAAGCCCATGTACCTTTTCCTTTCCATGATGGCCATCATTGACCTTGTGGCATCTGCCACGACCACCCCCAAGATCCTTTGCATCTTCTGGTTCGACTCTAAAGAGATTGACTTCAGTGCCTGCTTGGTCCAGCTCTTCTTAATCCACGCCTTCTCCATGATGGAGTCTACCATTCTTTTGGCGATGGCTTTTGACCGTTATGTTGCCATCTGCCATCCTCTCAGATACACCTCAATCTTGACCAACTCTGTTATTGCCAGGATTGGGGTCTTGGCAATGATTCGAGGATCATGCTTGATGGCTCCGGCTCCTTTCCTGATAAGGAGACTGTCTTACTGTCAAAACAATGTCATCTCTCACACCTACTGTGGACATATGGCTGTTGTAAAGATTGCCTGCACTGATACCAGCATCAACCAGGTGTACGGCCTTACCGTGGCACTTCTGGTAATTGGCGTGGATATTATTTGTATAGCTGTGTCATACTGTGCCATATTCAGGATGGTCTTCAGACTGTCTTCCAGGGAAGCTCGTCGCAAGGCCTTGGGCACATGTGGCCCCCACATCTGTGTCATCCTGATCTCCTACATCCCAGCTCTCTTCTCCTTCTTTTCTCACAGATTTGGACACAACATCCCTCTCCATGTTCACATTATCTTCGCCAACCTCTACATTCTCATCCCGCCCATGTGTAATCCCATGATCTACGGGGCCAGGACCAAGGAGATCCGGAGAAGGATAGTTGTGATTTTTTCATCAATCAGATTAAACTGAGTTTTACTCTTTTTTTATTCATCTATGACCAGATTCGATTGTCTAGAAACATTGAACAGTTTCCAGGGAATGCAAATGTATTGAGTGCTACTTATGGCTATACCCAGAATCCTCCCAGAAAACAACAGACCAACCAAGAAAAATAAATACATTATAATTAGTATTCTGCTGCGAGATATCTTTAAAATCTGGACTGAGATGTTAAATAGTCCCACAAAAGTGGGCCATTTGTGTTATTTTTCCCAATGTTCACGGTGAACTCCATAACATGGATTCCTGCTCAGGGGCGGACTGACAACTCATGGGGCCACTGGGCAATAGGGGATCATGGGGCCCCTGTGTCCTTGCAAAGCCTATGAAAAAGGTACCAGGGGCATCTCATGGAGCCCCCCTACTGACCCCGGGCCCTCGGGCAGTGCCCCAGTTTTCAAATGGTCAGTCCACCCCTGTTCCTGCTACACACGTATCAACTGCTTAAGTGCCAAAATGAATTATTAACTAAGATAAACTGAATCATGAGATTGATTTATATCTCCCAAGGTATTGAATAAATCACACAAAAAGTAAGAAATTAAGATCATCTTATTTGTATTGTAGGGGAAACTTTGTGAGCTAAACCAAAAAAGGGGATGTTTTCGAGATGCATGAAACAACTGTAAAACTGTTTTGTAAGATGACACAATGTTAACATCAATTAAAGGAACAAAAAATAAACTGAAACGGTCTATGTTTTTAACTGCTTTGTTGGGTCCCTCCTGTAACAGACCCGGACACCCACGACTGGGTATCTCCGTCAAGAAGCTGCTTCTCAGGCTCTGGAACACGAGACCAGTAAATCTGGCTATTGTTACCCCAAGATCCAGACGACACCCGATTTGAAGTAAGCCAGAAGGTAAAGTAGTTTATTTGAACACAGATACAAGATATAGACACTCAGGGGACAGTCCCCCCTCCCTGCATAATGACACAGGGCGGGGCAATCTACATTTAGTAACAAGAGACACACAGTTATTCAAACTTCACTCCAGCAGACAGTACCATCAGGAGGGCAGGCTGCTGGAGACACCCCCACTAAGCTAATACCCATAAACACATACATCCCATAATAGTTTGCTCCTAAGCAAGACAAATAATAGAACAATGGGATGCAGCCACACAACACCAAAAAATCCACAACCCCCACCCCACCTATCTCCTAGACATGTCTACACAATAATAGGACAGATCATCCTGTACCCCTAACAGGCACAGGGTGACTTACACATAATAGGGATATAGGGAGCTGAGACAGGGGTCTCCCCACCTCTCCAAAGTGAGCTGGGTTCCATGGGCCCCCCACCCAAAGTGACTCCCGTCACACCTCCTTTACACAGGCTTAAAATAAAGTTATTCTTCTCCAGGTGTTAAAGAACTCCTTAGGCCTAGATAGGCTCCAGGATCTTTTGACCTCCACCGCAGGTTAGTTTTAAGTTTATATGGCAGGGATCTCCAAATCTAATCAAAGGGTCAGTTTACTGTCCTTCAGGCTTTAGGGGGGCCGGATGGACTGTGGCCAGCGGGTGTAGAAAATGCTGCGCCATCGGTGCACCATCATTGGTTTTATTGGGAGGAATAGTCCCCCCCGTTGTTGGTACCAATGGGTCAATGGGAAGAATAGTGCCCCATTGATTGTGTCAGAAGGGGGGATAGTGTCCCATCATTGGAGTCAGTTGATGGAATAGAACCCAAAAGGCCAGATAAAGGCAAGCAAAGGCCACATCCAGTCCCTGAACAACAGTTTGGAGACCACAGCTCTATAGGGTTGATTTGCTAAAACTGGAGAGTCAAAATCTGGTGCAGCTGTGCATGGGAGCCAATCAACTTCTCACTTCAGCTTGTTCAATTAAGCTATGACAATAAAACCTGGAAGCTGTTTGGCTCCCATGCACAGCTGAACCAGATTTTGCATCCCCAGTTTTAGTACTGTAAATCAATCCCTTTATGTCTTTGCCACAGGTCAGAATCTGTAGGCCCAGATTGGTGTCTACATTGTAGTTTCTTTGGTCTCTGTCACTGGTCAGGTTAGACCTCTTTAGGCCTTTGCCATAGACCACTTTAGGACAATTTATACCCAGATGGGCAGCTAGGAGAACAAACCACCCTTTTTTGTCCCTGACTTCCTTGTCCAGGCAAAGGGCCTGGGAGGCAAAGACTGGACCTTTCACAGGAACCTTCCACCACTATGTCCTCACTAGGCAAAGCCTGGGACATAAAACATCCTTCTAGAAGGAGAAGGTCTCTCAGAATATTTATTCTTTTTTTCCCAGCCAACGTTACTGACATAAACCCCTCAATGACTGGTCATGGCAAAATACATTTTAATACCCAATACATGATATCTTCTCACAATACCTACTGGAGAACACTCAGCAGTAGAAGGTCAAAGCAAATGATGTCCTGGGGCATAAGAGAAACCCAACCAAAGCCAATCACATTACCAGAGCTCAGGCTGACTACAGCCTACACACTGAATTCTGAGTAGACTGATCAACTTGCACTGGCAGAGGAACAGTTAGGTACAGTGACTGGGCACAAAGCATAATTTGTGCAGTAAAGTGGACCTGACATCTGACTTATTTCATGGTAAGTAAAGCACACTGTGTGTGGAAGTATAACATATCGATATAAATATTGGCAGAACATGGGCAGCACAGTGGCTAAATAGTTAGCACCCCCACATGATGGCTCTAGGGTTGCTGGTTTAAATCTTAACCACCTGCCTGGAGTTTGCACATTCTCCCTGTGCCTGAGTAGGTTTCCTCCGGGTACTCCAGTTTCCTCCCACACTCCAAAGACATGCTGGTAGGTTAATTGGCTTTTGTCTAAATTGGCTGTGTGTGTATAAATGTGATTTAGGGACCATAGACTGTATTTTCCTTGAAGGTTAGGGACTGCTGTGAATGTACACTATATATATATATATATATATATATATATATATATATATATATATATATATACTGCTCAAAAAAATGAAAGGAAGACTTATTAATCAGAGTCTAGCATCAAAGGAGATTCCAGGAGACAGGCAGGCAGTTCCTCTAGGAGAGTGGAGAGGGCCGTAGAAGGTCCTTAACCCATCAGCAGGAGGTATTGTGACGGGAGTGACTTTTGGGGGTGGGGGGACCTCTGTATCATCTCCCCAAATCATTATGTTTAACCCACCCTGTGCCTGTTTAAGGGTACAGGGGTGTACATGTGAATGTCGGAGTATTGTGCATTTGTGTGTTGTCCTTTGTCTAGGCCACATGGCTGTTCATTGTCTGTTTGCCATGTGCTACCCCCATTGTGCTGTGCCTTGCTGGCCAGCCAACTATTATGGGATGTACTGTTTGTGTATTGGTGTGGGGGTTGGTCAATGTCCTATGCCATGTGCTTCATCCCATTGTTCTGTGTCTTGGTTGGATGGGGAGGGGTGATGAGGTGTTTCCTGCAGCCTCCCACTGATGGGGCGGGCTGATGATGTGTTTCCTGTCCCTGGTTGTCTTTCCCCGCCCTCTGTATAAAACCTGTTGTTTGTGTACAATAAAAGGTGTTGGCTTCTTGTTTTAGGAAGAGTTGGGTGCTGTCTATTTTCCTGAGGGATTTCAAGGGTGTGGTCCATGGATGGTGTTCAGACAGGGGAAGCTGTGGAATAACGGAAAAACTCAGTGCGGTCTGGGTTCCGGTTCCGTTACAGGTATCTCCTCTTTTGTGCAAGGAGGACCAGGATGAGCACTGCCAGAACCCTACAAAATGACCTCCAGCAGGCCACTGGTGTGAATGTCTCTGACCAAATAACCAGAAACAGAGTTCATGAGGGGGGCCTGAGGGCCCGACATCCTCCAGTGGGCCCTGTGCTCACTGCCCGGCACCATAGAGCTGGATTGGCATTTGCCATTGAACACCAGAATTGGCAGGTCCACCACTGGCGCCCTGTGCTTTTCACAGATGAGAACAGGTTCACCCTGAGCACATGTGACAGACGTGAAAGGATCTGGAGAAGCCGTGGAGAATGTTCTGCTGCCTGTAACATCGTTCAGCATGACCGTTTTGGTGGTGGGTCAGTGATGGTCTGGGGAGGCATATTCATGGAGGGACACACAGACCTCTACAGGCTAGACAATGGTACCCTGACTGCCATTAGGTATCGGGATGAAATCCTTGGACCTATTGTCAGACCCTACGTTGGTGCAGTGGGTCCTGGGTTCCTCCTGGTGCACAACAATGCCCAGCTTCTTGTGGCGAGAGTATGCAGGCAGTTCCTGGAGGATGAAGGAATTGACACCATTGAATGGCCCCCATGCTCACCTGACATAAATCCAATAGAATACCTCTGGGATATTGTGTTTCAGTCCATCCGACGCCACCAGGTTGTACCTCAGACTGTCCAGGAGCTCAGTGACACCCTGGTCCAGATCTGGGAGGAAATCCCCCAGGACACCATCCTTGGTCTCATTAGGAGCCTCCCCCGACGTTGTCAGGCATGCATACAAGCACGTGGGGGCCACACAGACTACTGAGGACCATTCTGAGTTGCTGCAATGACATTTCACCAACATGGACTCTGCCTGTTTTATAATTTTTTCACTTTGATTTTCGGGGTGTCTCTGAATTCAGTCCTCTGTAGGTTAATCATTTTCATTTCCATCAAACGATGGGGCATCCTTACGTTCCTAACACATTATCCAGCATGATATTTTTTCCCATTGAGATCTGAAGTGTTTTCAAAGTGTTCCTTTATTTTTTTTGAGCAGAGTATACTGTATGTAAAGTGCTGTGTAAATTAAAAGCGCTATATACCATATTTTCCAGCGTATAAGACGACCCCCTACTTTTCCTGTTAAAATATAGGGTTTGAGCTATACTCGCTGTATAAGACTACCCTCTTCCAACACACACCAAATAAAAATGAAAAAACATCAGATTTGATTTCAATATGGTATGGTATTTCAGTGTGGTATTCCAATGATGGGGTGCTA